TGAACCACTTGCTTAGAATCGGCTTCCACAAGCACGTTATTAAGCGAAAGTTCTTGATAAAGAAGAAGACCATCACATAAAGCTAGAAGTTTTGCTCTTGTATTAGTACATGTGCCATATTTATTTACAAAGGCCGCCATGACTTGCCCTCCCGAATTACGGATAACACTATTATCGGTAAAAACACCATTTATAGAGGAACCATCCATATTAAGTTATAATGATCCTTTAAGGGTGGCATCCATCTAACCCATTTACCTCTATCAAATGGCACCGATAAAATCGACAAACCCAAAGGTTGAAGTCTCTACATAGATGAAACACTAGACAAAGATTTAAGCTTAAAAATAGAACACATATTAGAAAGATGATGATGTACCCGATTGACAATGAAATCGGTAGATATAAGAATTTCATCAAATCGTGCTTTACACCTCTCGTTTCCATATCTCCCAAACGGAGAAGCAAAAGGTAGCTACTCGACACATGCCAACTTGTGTCAAGGTGGAGGTCTTCTAGACGTGACATAATTGAGAGAAAGATGTATATGTACTCCTTATTCCAAAATAAGTTGCCAATCTAACCTAAACTCTAGAACTAACTTCCGAGTGTAAAAAGAGATGATCAATCGACTCCTATCTAGAAGACACACAAGTAGCTACAAATGGAGACCATAACGATGATCAAATCTTTTATCCTAGAGTCAACTAGAATTGCCCTATGTAACCATTTTCAGCCAAACCCCTCCACTTTAGGTGGAATACGGGGATGCCAAACTAATTTAGCCTACAAAACCGTGATTGTTATTGTCTATAATGATTCCAATAAGTTTTGGATTCAAAACAACCTACCTTAGATAAGTTGAAAATCATCTTATCCTCTACACCATCATCTAATTGAATAAGCTTAACGGACTCGGGAAATTGAGGGAGAATGAATGAGAGAAAATCATAAAAGCCTCATTTATTAACAGATTGTAATCTAAAGGTAAAGGAGCATTCAAAATCATTCCACAAGCAATTAGACTTCCAAAAAGAAATTGAACCCTTTCCTATAATCCAAGAACTATAACATTTCAAAGTAGTAATGTGGTTAAAAATAGCATTTCAAATATAAAAAGAGTAGGACCAATACCGGGAGTAGGTCCATAATTAGTTTTCATAACTCGGTCCATAAACTATGGCCTTGAAGAAAAGACAAGCCGGCTTAGCTCTGTAACACATCCATTACCCGGGAAAGTCTATGAATACCCAAACCACCCTCTAACAATGGTCGACATACCTTATCCCACGATACCCATTAATGTTTAGCCTTTCCAGTCGAGCTCTATAGGAACATAGCCATTATCCGTTCAAGCCTATAAATTATTATTTTTGGCAAAGGGATAGCAGAGATAGTATAGATTGGAATACTACCGAGCACTCGCTTTCAAAAGTGTAATCCAAGCTCCGAATGGCGGATATTTTGATTTCCATCCTCCACAATCCTATTTGTCAAGGACTTCTCTAAATACCGATAATATCTATATTTTATTCAACTATTAAACAGAGGCAACTTAAGATATTTAACGAGCAAACTCAAATAGTTACATCCAAGTCCATGCCTTGAGTAAAGCTATTTGACGAATAGGCATTTTCTTTAGAGTATAAAAACCACTCTTGGAAATATTCAAAAATTGACCTAAGGCTTCCTCATACTATGTAATCAATTTTCGAAAGTGAAGAATCAACCATGGTAGATCCATTAGTGAATAGCAACATATCATCTACATAAAACAAGTGAGTAATAGATATATGTCCACGACCCCCTACCATGTAAGGGAATGATCCGACCTTCCTTAATGGCATGATCTAGTGAATATGAAGGACTTATTGAACTAGAATAAATAGTAAAGGAGATAAAAGATCTCTTTGTTTGACTCCTCTACTAGATTTGAAAAAGCCATAATTCCTTTCTTGAATCCTAATGGTATACTAAACATTACTAATACATCGATAGACCGGATCATATCACTAATTGTAAAAGCTCATTTCCCTTATGCTTCTATACAAAAAAGACCAATCAACTTTATCATAAGCTTTAGACATATCTAATTTGAAGATAAGGTTACTCGCCATACATTTTTTTATTTAAATATGCCACTAATTCTTAAGCAATTGCAATATTTTTGGTGATGCTCCAATCCTTAACAAACCAGACTTGCTCTAACAAAATTATATGTGGGAGAACCTTACCTAGTCTATTAGCGATGATTTTTGATATAATTTTGTACCCAAATGATGAGAGACTAATAGGTCTTAAGTCATTCATATCAAAAGCATTTGCAATCTTAGGGATTAAGACTCGAAACTCGTTGTTGTCATACCTTTAGGAATGTGACCCCATTAAAAAAATCTTGGATGCCAAAATTAGTTCCTTCTTAATCAATGTCTAATTTCTTATGAAAAAATATCTAGTAAAGCCATCTAAACTTGGGACTCGAAGGATTAAGATCATTGATTACCTCCTAAATTTCATCTTTAGACGAAATATCTATAAGCATATTATTTTGGTTTACTAAAATTTGTTTGAAATTACCTAAGAATAGATAATCATTTCTATTGGTTCTACTCACATAGAAAAGGGCTTGGAAAAACTCTAGTGTCTGCAGGTCCTATCACATCGGTATCCTCCGTAACGGTTCCATCCGAAATGAGAACGTTTTAACTTTGGTATCTTCATCCCACGTTAGAGATAAAACTAATCTTATTTGAAATGAGAACGTTTTAACTTCTTTTAACAAGTGTAACTCCAAAATTCAAATCATGTATATGAGTAGAAATTTTGTTTGAAGATCAATTTGTTTACCACTCGGATCAACATACATTGCAATACATTTATAGGAAATATCCATGGGAGCCCTTAAAAAGAGGACTCCCAAACTCTTTTAACAAACATATCGTATTCCTTATGTTCCATCCACATACGTTGGAACTTAAACAGGGAATGACACGATCTATTGGACACAAACTTAATCAACAAGGGTGAATGATCCGAATAAATCCTAGCTAGGTGTTGGACTAAGATGGATGGATGGGAAGACACAAAATGGCCATTAACTAGGACTCTATCAATTCTCTCCCAAACTCTAGTTAGTCCGGATCGATTATTGCACAATGTATACCGGCTTCCTATATAACTAACATCATCAACCCTAATAGTATTACAATAATCCACAAAGTCTCTCATTGCTTATAAATCATAGCCCGACCCATTAACTTTTTCCGACACATCCGCTATGGCATTAAAGTCCTCCCTACTAACCAAGGGATCTAATAAAGGATGGATAAGTAGCCTAGGTCATCCCATAGCCTCAATCTTTCTATCCTATAAAATTTGGCATAGTCAAAAGAACATAAAACCGAACTACGATCATGAATTTTTATTTTAATTGTGATTAATTGATCAATAATATCCATATTCATTATAGAAATGTCAAAAGTCCAAAAGAGCCAAATATGAATGTTAACTAGACTAAAATGCATATGATGCATGAAATGTAACTTTTTTGCCACCTCCTCAATTTTATCACCATGCAATTTAGGTTTTAAAATTACCAACGACATTGGACAATGCTCGTCGTTTTAAAAGATTTAGATAATCTATGGTGTTTTTATTTCCCACCCCTTGCATTCCATATAATGACCGACATAAATTAAAAATTAAGGATAGGAGTACCTTATGCGTATACGATTACGCTTGTCTTTCTCTTGAATTTTTAGTTTTATGGTTTTGTTTTTTGAGATAGCTTTTTAAATGCTTTATGGTTTTTGTTCACCCGATAAGTGTCCACTCGCACAAAAGTTAACCGATCACTGGTTAAGGTCGAGAAGTTAAGGGGCTAATGGGTCGTTCTCCCTAGTGAGCACTACCGATAATGATCCTTACCACCCAACTCATTGCTCCTTATTTATCAAACCCTTTTTCTCTAAATCCTCCAAGTATAGAAAGTAGTTGGGCCCTACATCTATATTGCTTACACCTATTCTATTTACCCTTTTAGTCATGTTATCCACGTCCGGATTTTTTATCAACATGCCTTCATTGATCTACCCATAACATGTGGGCTGCTTCCCAATTATTCAATTCCAATTGGTCGCTCGCGTGTGATATCATTTCCAAGTGACCTCACCGGCTTGATTTTTTGCTAGCATCTCCTAATCCAGGGTAGATCGACTTGTCTAGAACACTAGATTTATGCCTTTATTTTCTCCCTTCCCCATCCGAACCTCAACTAAGATCGCGATGTTAATATTTGTTCTTGCAATTCCCGGTCGTGAATTATTAATTTGTGATAATATAGGAAGGTCAGGTTACCGTAGCTTACATGCTAGTTGGGTTATCATCTACAATAACATGCGGATGAGGAAAATCACCAACAGTATTTGTTCCACCTTTTGTTTGGTTATACTTTGAATCTATCTTCCAGTGAGGGTTATCCTGCAGCGTTAATGAGAGTGGTAGTCAAACCACCATAGATGCAAGCCAACGGCAAACCGACCGCTAGAGAGAGTTTACACAAGAGAGAAGATTAGGGTTCCTAATATGTTATATTATGCTAATTTGAACACCCATCTACCCGTCATTTAATTTGTTTCTTGCTAGCATTGCTTGGTCTTTCTCTCATACCTCTCACTCCTTTGTATCCGTTCTATTTAGTTGGTGGTTGTTTTTTTTACAAGTCACAATCTTAATTCTCTATATTTTGACTAATTTTCTAACTAGTATGATTGATCAGCTTTTTAGAACTCTCTCACATAAATCCCTTTCTTCTTTTCTTTTGTTCTCTTTCTTCTTGTCTCTCGTCGCGGAATTAAGAAAATAAGAAACCCAAGCAACTCTTATAAAGAAAAACCATACTTAACAAGAGAAGTAACATAAATTGAATAAGAAAGGTGATGAAAATCTTAATATTTTTAGGAAAGGAAGATAATTGTAGTAAAGCCACCATTACCAAATAGATGATCGCTCGGTATCCGATCAAACCAACTAGTTACGGTTATCGTAATAACAAATTAATTGGAATCAGTTATATGGATCTTTTTATTATCAAATCCGTCTCAATCTAAAATTATCTTTGGGTCATTAGATTTGCCAAATTTAAAATAGAAGTTATCTATTTTCAACAAAATTATCTAAGTATTGCAATTCCACTTCCATACGCTAGCTATGGTTATTGCAAGTTTATATATATATATGGTTATCGAAAGTTAAGAAAAAACGGAAGGAAAATGTTTAGTACTCTTTGGGTCATTTGATTTGCCAAATTTAAAGTAGAAGTTATCTATTTTCAGCAAAAGCAGACGACAAGTCATCTGTTGCTATATCATACTTTCACATATGTCGTTTATTTTCGCAACCTTTTTTTGGGTTTCTTTTCTTCAATGGGCTTCCGTAACTATTATATTTCCAGAAATACCCTTTCTGATTTTCATTCTCTCTTTGCTTGAAGCAGGCAGCGCTTCTCCTCCTCGCAAACTCAAACATTCATAAGAAATTGACTCCAAAAATTCAATCAATCAATCAATATCGATCGATATGTAAGTCAATCAAAATCTATTTCTGTATTAATTTTCTCTCCTTCTCTGTTTTGTATTTTTCTTAAAAAATAAAAAAATAAAGAAGCAAAAACTCGACTATTTCACTTAATTTTGGTGTCCAATTTTTTCCAGGTCACAAGAAGAGATTGCTCAAGAAGCAATAAAGCACGCGTTGAAAGCTTTGAACAAGCGGCATCTACTGGAAGAAGGAGCTCATGCTCCTGCCTGTATTGCTCTTTCCAGGCCCATTATTTCTCAGGTCTTCTCTCTCTCTCTCTCTCTGGTTGTTGTTTTTTTTTTTTTTTTTTTGGGTGAATTTTTTACTTGCTATCAATCACGCTTTATTTAGTAATATTTATTCTGGGCTTTGAAATTGCTTTTTTTTACTCAGAGTAATAAGAATAAGATTGTAGTTAATTAATTTTAGCGCCGTGATTAAGTTGGTTTATTGAATATTATTGAAGGGATCAGAGTGGAAAGAAAAGGCAGAAAATTTAGAAGAAGAACTTCAGCAATGTTACAAAGCTCAATCTCGGTTATCCAACCAACTTGTAGTGGAGGTAGCCGAATCGAGAGCAGCCAAGACTTCTCTGCAGGAGAAGGAAGCAGCTATCACTGATTTGCAAAATGAGGTTACTCAAATAAGGTTGTTCTTTTTACTAGTGTTTTTTAGCCTGCTAGGAAGATAGATGCTTTTAAGGTTTTCTGCATTACGGGGTTATTGACACTTGTGTTTTTGCTGCAGGGATGAGTGCAGTCAGTTGAAGGAGGACTTAGAGGAAAAGATTAAAGCTTTAGAATTGGTAATGAGTGAGAACAAAGCACTTAGAACACAATTGGAAGAGATGACTCTTAAAGCTAAGAATGCTGAGGCTGAAAATAAGATGTTGGTTGATCGATGGATGCTACAGAAGATGCAGGATGCTGAACGCCTAAATGAGGTACTTTGTAGCGTTGCTATAGTTTGATGATGCATAGTATACATATTGGACAAGTATCAACTGTTGGGTGAGATTTTGCTAGGCAATCGGTGTTTTCCTGTTTTAGAAGAGCTATAGTGACTTTTGAAACATATGTTGACCTCTTATATATAGACGAATTTTTGCATTTTTTTATTCACATTTGAAGATGGAATTCTTCTTAACGTTTTCAAAATTAACCAACACTTCTTGATGTTGTTTCTTCTGGAAGAACCTTTTTGGCAGACATTTCGGAGTATATGTATTGTTTTATTTCCATGTCATTTCCTTCATAAAAGCCTTAGACGGTAAAGAGATTTTGGCAAATATATGTTTTTTGTGATTGAATCTGGTATTGAGTTCAAGTATGAAGAAGGTTGCTGCTCCTTTTCGTTTATGATTTAAAGGCCTTAGACGGTAAAGAGATTTTGGCAAATATATGTTTTTTGTGATTGAATCTGGTATTGAGTTCAAGTATGAAGAAGGTTGCTGCTCCTTTTTGTTTATGATTTGCCAGAGCAAATTGGAGTCCAGTTTGATTATTCCTAATGTTTTATACAAGTTTTCATGCGAAAGTGTCCCCTTTTCCCTGGACTTCTTGTGTATTAGCATGATAGAGAAAGTTGAATATGCAGTGTGACACTTGACATGTTGTAGTCTTCTGTAAGTTGAGTGATTCAGAGTGAACATGCCTTGCAAAAGATGCTGAAACCAATCCCCAGATCCAACCTTCATCAAAGCTGTGAAACTTGGAGTTTGCATACAGTGCCTTTAAGTTCTTGCTTTTGCTTCTGAAGAGATGCATATAGGAATTATTTTCTTCCTGCTTTGTCACTGGTATAAATGCAGCTAACTAAAGATGTCCTTATGAACGTAGGCTAATGCACTTTATGAAGAAATGATTGATCGGCTCAAGGCAAGTGGTTTAGAGAGCCTTGCTCGGCAACAAGTGGATGGAGTTGTCAGGCGAAATGAAGACGGTGCTGAGTACTTTGTTGAATCAACTATCCCCTCTACATGCAAGCAAAAGATCACTGCTCATGAGGGTGGCTGTGCTTCTATATTGTTTGAGTACAATTCTGGAAAATTGATTAGTGGGGGACAAGACCGGTCAATCAAGACATGGGATACAAATACAGGATCATTAAGTCGCACTCTTTATGGTTGTCTTGGCTCTGTTCTTGATCTTTCCATTACCCATGACAATAGATCTATCATTGCAGCTAGCAGCTCAAACAACTTGTATGTATGGGATGCTACAACAGGGCGTGTACGTCACACTCTCACAGGTCACACTGATAAAGTTTGTGCCGTTGATGTCAGCAAAATTTCAAGTCGTCATGTTGTCAGTGCTGCTTATGATCGTACTATAAAAGTGTGGGATCTGCAAAAGGGTTTCTGCACCAACACAATCATTTTCCACAGCAATTGCAATTCTCTTTGTTTCAGCATGGATGGACAGACTATTTGTTCAGGCCATGTTGATGGGAATCTTCGTTTGTGGGATATTCAGACAGGAAAGCTACTTAGTGAAGTTGCTGCACATTCACTTGCTGTTACATCAATATCTCTGTCTCGAAATGGAAGTGTCGTACTGACAAGTGGGAGAGACAACTTGCACAACTTATTTGATATGCGATCTTTGGAAGTTTGTGGCACATTAAGAGCAACTGGAAACAGGGTGGCTTCTAATTGGAGTCGCTCCTGTATCAGTCCTGATGACAACTATGTTGCTGCTGGTTCAGCTGATGGATCTGTACATATTTGGTCAATATCTAAAGGGGATATTGTGAGCACTCTGAAGGAACACACTGCTCCTGTCCTTTGTTGTTCATGGAGTGGTCTAGGCAAACCACTAGCCTCTGCTGACAAGAATGGAATCATCTATACCTGGACATGATGGTTTGTGTCTTTACCTGTAAATATGATATATTGTCTACACGGAGTCTCGTCTCACCTCGCTGCCTAATTTCTTCAAACAAGTTTGTCGAACACCGAGCCATTTTCAGGTTAATGGACCCCAAAGTTAGCAACATGGCAAAAATTATTCTTCTGTACAGACACAGTTGATTAGTTATTCCCACTGAACGATTAGGTTGGATGAATTCATTTGCTGAAAGAGAACGACAGAGGTTGTTTAATAAAGTTCCTGATTTGTTGGTTTTGTGCGTAGTACTGGTTAATGTACGTGTCCTCAGTGGTTCGAAGGTTCTTACACCGCACTACAAGGACGTTCATGTTGTATGGTCTCCACTATCCACAAGGGAGCTAGTTGGACGAAATTGAAATAGACTTGTGCAGAGTTTGAAAGTAACGAGTGATGACAAGCATTAGATTATTTCCTCTTCTGAAAAAAAAAAAATGCTACTTAAAAGGATTAGAATTCCGAAACAAAATGGAGATGTTTTATGTTGAGATGAGTTACTCCTTTTCTTTGGTAATATTTAAAGCCTATCAAAAGTCTATTTTCATTTCAAATAAAGTTAACAAACAAATCTTATTTGAAACGGGATCAAAATCCTAAACCCATTCCAATTCTAGTTTCTAAGGTAATGAAATCCGGTGTCACATTTTGTGAACTTTTGGCATTTGATTCATCTCATAAACAGTTTCCGTTTCCTTATTATAATATAGGGTTTCAAATATTCAATTCAAGGGGGTAAAAAAAAAAAAAAAAAACACTTATGAATACCTTAATATAGCGTAGAAAATTTATATAAGAATTGAATGTTAAAAAACACTACATGTTCGCATAATGCTTTCATAATTTTATTCAAAAACAACCATTTTAATAAGATAGTGTCCTTCCGTGAAAATGGACCGGTTTTTGTCTATTAAGTCAATTTTATATCCCATTCATAAAAAAATTATTATATTCATCATCCTGCGTATTATTCATTAATAATCACATGCTTTTTTTTCTTTTTTTAATTCGGCTCATACCTATTTTGTCACACTCTATCCATATTTACTTACCCACGACTTTTTTTTTTTTTTTGAAAAAGTTTTTAAATTAATTATTATTAAAAGTTCTCTTTTTTTTTTTTCCTTTTTTTTTTTTTCAAGTTCTCCAAAAGCCGTAATGGATTTGTATGGATTCGCTACATTATGCATGACCTGTTTCAATAGAAAGAATTGAAATTACGGAATTGAGACGAGAATAATATTTTGTCTACTTCTCAATTTCATAACTTAGGTCAAGGAATATGAAAGTAAATTATAAATTAGTCTCTTTAGTTTTGAGAAATAAATTAATTAATCCTCCTTTTGAAAATTAACTTAATCCCTTTTGCTCATTCTTCAATTTATTTTTGATTTTTTTATTTAAAAAAAAAACAGCAAAAGAATAAGAATAAAAATAAGAATAAGTAAAAAAAGAAAAAGAAAAGATTCGAAGACATTTTATAGAATGACATAATATTAAAATATGCATAGTCAACACTAGTTAAAAGGATTAAAAATTAGTTTTCTGAAAAAAAAAACTAATTAATTTATTTCTTGAAACTAGAGGGATCAATTTATAATTTACTGAAAAATATGGTAGCACTAAGTGGATTAGCATCATGAATGTTGTTTTTACTATTCTATCAAATTTTAATTTTTGTGAATGGAAATGCTCTAACCAATATTATATATTTTGAATGACAACATAATTTTAATTTTTTGGTGTGTTTGTTTTGTAATTCCTACATGTTATATGATAGAACAATTTTCATAAGGGAAGGAAGACACGTCAAAATTTATATAGGTCTTTTCCAATACAGTCTTTGTTATATTCTTAAATATGTCATGCGATCTTTTTCGTCTACGAGATGTGGTGCCTCCAGCTCCCTTACCGATTACCTAAAAGGCATGGCTAGGTGCGTCACAATTTAGAGACCGACGTCTCAAATTTACTCCCACACATCATACACAATGTACTGAATATCATTACAAAAGTTACAAAATAATGTAGGTATTATTACAAGCAAAAGTAAATCCTATAGTTCTCGTGTCACACATGAGCTCTTTTTCCGGGAGGAACCGACGGATTCATTATCGCATTATTATCGCCTTTACTCGTCAAGCATTAAATAAATACAAAGTGAGCCAAAGCTCGGTAAGTAGGATGATGCACGTGCTATACAATGATTTCTTGATTCCCCCACTTTGACTCATCGATTTTAATTTGGGTACCCTAGGTATTAGCAACTTCGCTCTATTTTCATATCTCAATGATTGTCGAATCACCTACAGACTAATAACAAAATTACTCTTCGTTGAAGCCTTGGTTAGCGAGGATTATCCATCGCCTATCGGTATAGTTATACGGATTAGTCACACGGAATAGAGCACGCACACGGCTTCGGTTCTAACACCCATTTAATTCCAATTAGGTTACCAAACCTATTCAATTCAATCCGATTCGGTTACCAAACCTTATCATTTTCGACTCAATTGTTTTTCTCAATTTCTTCGTATGCATATGATGCATGTAATGTATCATAAACCACATTCCATCAAGTCACGAGTACTCAACCCGTCGATTCTACACCATTGGGATCACACAAGGAATTCAAGAACCGTCTCATAGTGGTTAATCCATTTCAATTTTTGAGTCCTAGGAATACGTCGAGGCGTATTTATAGTGGATTTTCCTTTCTAACCCGAATTTGGGCCTTAAAAGCCGAACTTTATTTTTTTTCTTTTATTGGATCTAGGTCTTAATGATTGTCTCGCACTCTTACCTTTTCACATTTTATTTCATATTTATTTAGGTGTCTTTGGGCCATTTCTTATGGAGTTGGGTGTTTGAGACTCAATTTGTAAAAAGTCGAGTTTAGATCGAAATTTTCGTTTTCCTTAGAATCTAACCTTTCTACACTTTATTTTATACTTATTTAGATATATTTAAACCATTTATTTGCAAATAGAATGAATGAAACTCAAAACCTAAATTTTAGGGTGTTTGGCCGAATGGGTTCAAAAAGGGCAAGGGTTTGTCTTTTGTTTTTAAGTCATTTCTTTCCATCCTAACTTACTAAATTATCCTTAAGTGGGTTACCTTGGAGGTATAGATCTTTAGGTCCATACATAAATCCAAACTTGGTCATTTTAGTACCAAGGTCCAATAAGTTTCCTTAGGATATCCAAGCCCATTTTGTTTTAATTCAAGCCCATCCACACATATTTTCCAAGCCCATATAGTTGTAACCAAACCAACCCATTCATACATGTATAAACATCCATCATCACACTTATACATTCCAAAACAAAGTTCACCATGAAATGCACATCAAAACAATTATAATAGATCCATCATGAAACATCAAAATATAACATCAACACAAGCTACCATGACAACATGTTACATAGCTTAAAACAAAACCCATAAATTGAACATGTAAAATAGAACTTAAGACATAAATAAAACTAAATTGAAACTTACTTACAATGATATATGCTTGTGTAAGATTTTCTAGACTTTTCCTTCTTTTTTCTCCTTTCTTTCTTTCCTTCCTTTTTCTTTCTTTCTTTTCTCTCTTTCTTTCCCTCATAAAGTTGTTTCTCTTATCTCTTGGAAGCTACGGTTTTTGTCTAAAAAAATGGCAAAGTTCATATCTTTCTCCCATTTTTATATCACACTTTTAAACCATTTATTTCTTAGCTTTCCAAGTGTCAACAATTTGTGGTAAACTAAGGTCAAATGATGGGACTAAATGGGAGGCAAGTTGGCGTGTTGGACTTTCCAAAAAGGAGTGAGATAGTATAATTAGAAGTATGATGAAAGATTTTATATCACATCACTAACTAAAAATAGAAACTAAAAGGTAACTAAATTAACTAAACTAACCAACTTTCTTACCTCATTTGGTTCCCAAAAATTCGATCATGCACCTTGTTTGGGTCATTCTTTCACTTGCATAGTCATTTTAATTATAACATTAAGAAAAAAAAATCATGGCTAGTTAAATTTCCAAAAAGGTGATCCCTATGAACACATTCATAAACATTAAATATTTTATCATCACAATTATAAAAGAAATGACACATAAATTATACCCACATAATTATGGATATTCCAGGAGATATTCTTCTTGGGAATTAAAATTTTGACATGTCGAAATAATATATATATATATATATATATTCCGGGAGATATTCTTCTTGGGAATTAAAATTTTGACATGTCGAAATAATATATATATATATATATATATATATATATATATATATTCCAGGAGATATTCTTCTTGGGAATTAAAATTTTGACATGTCGAAATAATATATATATATATATATTTTTTTTTTTTTTCATAGCTCCTCACATAAACACGAAGCTTGTTACTATCTCCAAAAATTTAAAATGGCATGTAAATCACACATAATAGTTCTCATATATATAGATATAATATATTAGTACATATAGCTATATAGCTAAGGAGTTTCATGGGGGTTACAACATAATCCTTAATATGAAAAAAAAATTCATTGTATTTGAAGTATCTATAGAAATACGACACAAATAAAAAAAATAAAATGAGTTTTAATTAAATTAAATCTGAATGGAAGCACTCAAAATCAATAATCTATCTATTAGTTTAAAAACAGACATAACCATATCTTGATCCTAAAATGAAATGCACCCTACTGTTTAAAATGAAACTTTTAGCCGAAACAGAGGATAACACACTATCTAACAATGCCAACAAAAAGTTGTTTAAGGATCAAAAACTTAGTAAATGAACTAATTCTCCTAACAATCATTGATATTATAAAGGAATATGGTAACCATATCAAGGCTTATCGTGGACTTGGATATTATATATATAAAAAAAAAACTAAAACAAAATAGATTTTTACTATTGATAACATTATTCACATACTCACACATCACTATTCCTTTTACTATACATGACATTTTTTTGATACTTTGTTCCTTAATTTTTCTATATATATATATATATATATATATATTTAATTTCAAACTTCAATTGTATTATCATTTGGTCCCATTTTGTTTTAGTGCTCATCAAATTAATTTAAAATTATATTTACTCGACAATTTTGCTTTATTTTTCTTTATGTGTGGATTTTGGAATAACTTTTTAGAATATGATTATTTTTTCTTTTGAAAAATAGATTTATATAATTTTTAAATTATAGTGGCATGACACACATATATAATTTGTCCGAAATACATTTTTAGATTAAAAATATATTTCAAATAATTTTTTTCAATTTTTTTAGAAAAAACTCAAATTAGTTAATTAATAATTGAAAGTCAAATGTGAAAAACAAAAAAGAGATGGTTGCTCTGTGCATGAGGCCCATATTTAAGAACTAGCCATGTATAGTATAAAAATAAAAAATTATTTAAGTAGGAGGAAAAAATAAAAAGAATCCATGTGTTTTATTTGTTTTTTCTTTATATAATCAAAATTTAACGAATCAATTTTGTAATAATTTTTATTTTAGTCAATTAACTTCAAATTTAGTCAATATATTTCATGCAAATTAACACTCTTTTTTATTGTTTTTTGTTTTATGCTCGAAAACTCTAAACCGTCTAAGTATAGTTATGATGTATAAAAAAATATTGAATTATATATATATATATATATATATATATATATTAACTATGCAACTACTACTACACTTAGCATTTACTATTTATTTATTTATTTTAAAATATTTTAAAATTAATTTATTTTAAATTAAATAATTAAAATTATTTTTTGGCTTAATCACTCAACGATTCAAATTAACATAGTTTTTTATTTTAATATCATTTATTTTTTATGAATAAATATATAAAAATTAAATTCATATTTTTTTCAAAAAATGGATATTCTCATCAACATTAATAAAAATAAAAAAAATATTTTTTTATTTGTTCAATTCTATGTAAGTTTTTATTAATTGTTATCTTAGTTTTTTGACATAATCTTATGAAATACTAAAGCTCTTTTAAAATTTTTATTTAATTTTTTTAGTTAATTATCCATGGATTAACAAGAATGAATCTTTTTTTCTAACGAGAAAAATCATGTAAAACACAAATAAGAAATAATTAAATACAAAATTTTGATTAAAAAAATTATAAATATTTTTTTTACTTTTAATTTCATACATTTTTATCTATTCACACCATAACACAGAGTATCAAATTGAAATGATTTTTTAAAAATAATTTTATATATTTTATCCAACCTATAGTGTGGCATGGGTAAAAAAACTAGTTAATAAAGAAACTAAAACTCGAATGATGTTCTACTATAGCTAAGCCTTTTTTTTTTTTTTTTTTTGGCATTTGGTAAAAGTTTTTATTTTATTTTATTTTCATCTCTATTTTGTGATCTTGCTTTCATTTGAGTCCTTAAAATTTTATCATATATAATTTTTTAATAGATTTTTATTCTCTTTCTTTAACATCTTTTTAATAAGTTATATGCATAGCAGTTGATTGGGTTTTTCAATTTTTTTCCATAAAGTAAAAAAATAAAAAATAAAAACATTGACTTATCTATGATGTGGCTAGCAATTAACCATGTCATCCATTATTGTCTTCCAAGCGCTCTCTAGTTTGTCGTGCCATTTTGGTATTTAAACCCCTTATGTTGTCTTCGCCTTCCCACAACCTAAAACATTACCCAAATTAAATTTAAAAAATCACCAATTCCACTTATAAATCACCTAAATGTTTAACTCTACTTAATGTTTTGAAAAATCATACTTTTCATTTATCATTTTCACTTATCAAAACACAAAATTCCAACCAATGAAGTCTAAAATAAAGACTATAAATCTTAAAGTGTTGCCAACTAAGGTCCCCTCCAAAAATCAACATCAAGAGAAATCCGGGTAATCCAAACAAAAAAATATCATTTTTTTCAAGCATGCAATTAACTCGGATTTAGATGGGATTGAGCTTCACCGCCTTCTTTTTCAATTGTTGGCTCCGTTTAATGACATATCACTCTTTTAGTCATGCTTAATCCTCGTTGTGGTATGCACAATTTTTGGAGATTGTCTTTGTTGGGGGTTGGTAGCTATGAGATAAAAAGTTAAGTTAATCATTATTGTCTTACTATACTTTTGTCAATGTTTTTTTATTATTGTCAATATATAGTTTTATCGGTATAAGGGATTCTTGCGAATCGATCACGTGATTAGTTGTTAAGCTAATCAAGAAGTAGAAAGTTCGGTGTTATGACTTATAGAAGCAACGATCAACCAATCAAGTAGAAATGATGCAAATAGTAAGAGGTGTAAGAGGAGAAACAAATAGTGCTGCACAAGTTGAGTAGTTAATAGGTGGGTAGTCAAAGTCCAAAACAAATAGAGCTTTAAGTGTTCTCTAGTGTGCGAGTAAAAGAGCTTTGAGATGGAGAGTTAGAGGTTTATTTTGCTAGAGATTAAAAGTCTTGAAGTAAAAAATTCTCCGACGTAAAAGTGTTTTCCTCTCATAATGATATGATATTAGTATTTATAATGAAAAAAAATGGTCCTTGGCCACTAGAATCATACCACATCATTCAAGTTTGAATAATCGGATTTTGAAGGATTTAGGTTATTTGGAATAAATTGTTTCAACTTGTCAATAAAGACTAAAATAAGTAATAATTGGGCATTTCTTTAGAGAGCTCTACTTTGAGCCCAACAAGCCAATCTTCCTAATACATCGTAAAGACAAGACATGGACACTAGCCTTGCTAGAATACCCATGTCTATCCTTACGACCCAAGACCTTATGTTGAGTTAGGTCCATTCTTAGTTCAATCCATTTCTCATGCAACTTGGACCTATGTCAAAATAAAAAAATAATAATAATATGGATTAATACATAATTAAAATGAGCTAAATTAATTAATTTTACAAAAGATCAAGCATATACAATATATTAACCAAATCATTAGTTTGTTTTTTATTGACTTTGGAGCAATATGCTTTATTGGGCTTCAAACAAATTTTGGATGACAATTAGAGGTAATTCTTTCTCATTTAGTTTCTTTTTAATTTCTCATTTGACCCTTTTTTTTAAAAAAATATTTTGCCTATCGAATATTTAACTCCACTAATAGTGGTGGTTCTCATCTTTATAATTTGTGCAAGATATTATATTTTATGTGTTCAATTTTTTTAGTCCTTTTTTCATTACTCGTTTTAGTGGGGTTTCGTTGAGTTAGCTAATGTACTTTTTTTTCATTCTAATTTTTTCCTCTTTCTTTTCTATCTTTTTTCATTTTTAAAGAAAAGATACATATAACCTAGGCATTAAGTTTCTCTCTCTACCTTTTTATATGTTTCTTCAAGTCTTTGGTTCACAATATAAAGTCTGTATATTCATATTCTTTTTCCTTTTTTTCTTTAATTTCTTTATTTTTTTTTCTATGTTACTCTGTATAGATTGTTTGAATGCTCATGCAAAGTGCGTAAGATGTTGTCATTATATTAGACTATTTTCCTTTAAATTTGTTGCTAGTAACCTTTTTTTCATGTTTTTCTATGTTTGTCTTTTCTTTTTGTAATGCTCCTCCCATTTTGGTGATTTCCATATTGTGTTTTACTCTTTTTTTTTTTTCTATAGTTTGTTTTTAAGTTTCTAAAACATGTTTTATTAAATCTAGTTGATGTTGTTTTGTTTAAATTTTTGTTATTTCAACATTAAAGTCTCGAGCTTGTGTTTCTTATAGTTAAGATTCTACGTCTATATTTTGGGGGTTTCTTTTTAAAATATTTTTTTCCCTCTTTTTATATGTTATGTTATTTTGCCTTAGACAATGATGAATAATTTTTTGCTACTAGTTGTTATTTATTTTGTTTCTCTCTACCATTTTTGTGGCTTCTTTTTGTTTTTTTTTTTGGACCTCTCTTCCTGTGTGTGCCTTTGATTTCTATACGAGTCTTGACTTTCCCTTTGCTTTAACAATTGTACTTTTTTTTCCAGTTATGGTGCCTAATTTATTAGTTATACTTAATTGTTGTTCATCGATTTGTTTTTCCTTTTTTATATTTTTAATGTCTTATCATTATTATTTTTTATTATTATTCATTAAGTTCAACTACTATCATATAATGTCTTGGTAATGGTTAATAAAACAAGAACTACCAAAAAGAGTCTAGTCTTCTAGTAAGCCTCTATAGTTGAAAACCCTTATGTGAGATTGGATGATGTGGGTGGTATTGGTCAATCAAGATTAATCAAGAGTGTTGATGATAATAGTAGTTCAATTAACAATCTTCTTTTTCTACACAAAAAAGGAGAGTTCATCATAGTTTTTTATTTACACTAAAACATGCAACTCTAGATTTTGTTAATGCATCTTTGAGTTATAGGCCTTCATGTGTGAATGACGAATCAACAACCAATATTTTTAGTGGCTTTTTGAATTCTCAAACAAGCTGGTATGATTGGATGCACTAATGATCATACTCGTTATATGTTCACATGATCAATTAGTTGAGAGAGAATCTTATCGACTAGAACAACAAGGGAAAGCTTGCTATCAAAGAAAACAAAAAAATTAGACTTTTTTCTTTTGTATTTACTTATATGTTTTGTAGTTTTTTTTTTATCTTTTTTTAATTTTTTCCCCTCTTTTATGGTTTAGAGTTTATTATTGAATACATTGATTTTGGTGATAAGACATATAAATATAAGTATTATTGTGCCTTTTTTTGGTCGCGTGAATAGTTAAAGCAAAAATCAACCTTATAGTAGCCAAATTTTTTCTTTGTTGTAAATGTGGAAAGATTTCTCTACCACCAAGCACAATTAACATAACCTTTTTTTGATAGTTTGCTTGATCTAGATCAAGGAAATTATTCTCTCAAATTTAAAGATAATATTAGGGCTTAAAACTCAATATTTCAAATGCCTTCTTACATAGGAAGTTGGATACTCTAACATATATGGAATAGCCACAAGGTTTCACTCACCCATATCATCTAAACCATATTTATGCTCTCAAACGCTCCCTCTATAGACTTAAACATACACCTAGAATGTGGTATACAAGTCTCAAATCGCACTCTATTAGTTGGGATTTATTGGTTCTAAAATAGATACTTCTCTCATATTATATCATCATGGCACCTATATTATTTAATGGCTATAAGTAAGGGAGGATTACACCTTTACCAATCATAGTAAATTTAGGATCTTTTGAAATGGGAAAATATGTATGACGCTATAACAACGGCCACATCTAGTAGTTTTCGTTCAACCAATCGAGCCACTACTAAAACATCATTGGTATTGTTGTTGGGCTTCAATACCTTACACTCATGAGACTAGATGTCTTATTTGTCATCAATCATGCTACCTAGTTTAAGCATGCTCTTACAATAGAGCAACGGATATCAATTAAACGCATTTTCCATTATCTCAAAGGAACTCCAACTTATAGACTCTTACTTAGTCCCTCATCTTCTCACCACATCTCGACTTACACTAATGCTAATTAAGGAGGTGATATCATTAATAAGAAAAGTACCACGAGTTTTGTAATTTTTCTTTACGGTAATCTTATCTCTTAGATATCTTAAAAACAAAAAGTTATGGCTCGTTCATCTACTAATTTAGAGTATCAAGCCTTGGCAATAACAATATTTGAAATGATTTGGCTTCAATCGGTTTTGCATGAAATCCGGTTTCCACAAGCAAAATCCTTGATACTTTGGTGTGATAAACTTTCAGCAACCTATATCACAACTAATCCAATGTTTCATGCTTGTTCCAAACACTTGAAAATTGATTTCCACTTTGTCCAGGACAAAGTCGGCAAACATGAATTGCTTATGTGCTACATTTCTACCGAAGATCGGTTAGCTCATATCATGATAAAAAAATTTTCCACATACAAATATCTCTATTAGGTTAACAAGTTGATCGTGCTTCCTACAACTCAACTTGAGGGAGGATGATAAAGATAAGAATTTGTTAATATATATACAAGAGCAAGAGTTAGATATTGTATATATTTTAGTAACTTACTATAACTATAACTCTATCTCCGAAATTTTCTTTAAAGAATTTACTACAATATAAAAGTGTGTGACATCCTTACAATCAATTCTTAGTTTGTTCACCAAACAAGCTTCTAAACAGAGATTGGAGACACATGTATCCTCGCTTTAATAAACATATTTTTAAGTACTTGTAATGTTGTCATCTAGATATATTGGAGCATAAAGATACTATTAATATGCACCTAGAGTCTAAACATACTAGAAATACATAGAAATACATGTCCTTTACATACAAAATTTGGATTATGTTAGTGATGAACTTTATAATCCTATCCGCTTCATCGAGTCACCTATAAAAGTACCCCTTTCTATAAGACTCGGTCTTTAATGATATTTTGGGTGCACGATCAGTTACATAATAAGAAATGGTTCATAAAAAGATACAAAAAATAACATAAAGATATTCCGCTAAAAACATTATAATCCTTGCTGAAGGGCACCTTCTCATTAAGCATTTGAACAAATAAATCACATATGAATGTGTACGGCATGAGAAAAGTCCAGGAGCTTGGTATTGATCCGGTTCG